GGAGAGAGGTGTTAACTATCATCTGGATCCAGCCACATGTCACCTCCCTGCTGGTCGAGACCAGCCAGAAGGGGCACGGCTCCAGTATACAAGTGGAGTGGATTAATAATATTTTTGATCTTCAGATGCCTCAAGCTTCCTTTGCTTAGTTCCTGGCTCATTCAGGCACCGTCTCCTCTGCTTTATGTCATGTTTAATCACCTCTAACTCCAGCACTATCTTCTGCCAAGCCTAGAAGATCCTGTCCCTTCATTTTTTGACTGCCTGCTCTGCTTTCTCTTTACATTTTATTCCTACGAAGCCTCCAAACAAGCTTACAAGCAATTCTAAGAAGTTTAGATTTTCTGTTTCTTCATTTGCAACTTCTCATATGTGCTTAAGTTGTGCATCTCACTGTCAGATTAACAAGGAGAAAAACCTTGTCTTTTGCACTTCAGAATTTCTTTGTTACAGGGCAATTTATTCTTCCACAGTGAAACTCTAATCTAATTCTTTAAACTGGGTAAATATTATTTTCAGAACCTAGCACAAATTCTATTTTGGGATAAACTTTCTACTTATATAAAAATTCATATGAAACATTTGTTGCTTAATATCATAAATAACACAACAGATCTGTCAAGTTTGAAGTATTAATTAAGTTTTGTAAGAAAATTAAGATAGTTAAGTGATTGTTATAAAGTTTTTCTAAGAAGTAATACAAGACCAAACCAATCCAAAAATGCTAAGGAATTCCTGGAAATGTATCATCAGACAAATCAGCCACTAATAAATACATAGGGATAAATCACATTTACAAACCATTCAAAAGAGACAGTAAAAAGACAAAGAAAAAAAAACAAAAAGACAAGAACACATCCTCTCCAGCAGCCTAATCCAGATAATCTTGATTAACACTAGACAAATAAACCAAAAACAATATCCTAAGTAAGCAATTGCCAAGGAGAAAACCACACTTCTAACAACACTAGTAGGGGAAGCTTCAGTATATAAGCAGGGAGTAAACCTCACACTCAGCAGCTGATGATATCCAGGTAGTGAAATGCCTGCAAGCAAACTATGAAGCTCACAGAACACCAAGGAGATCAAGAAGCACTCATAATTTTGAGAACATGACCAAGATGTTTGAGCATGTAGCATATATGGATTATGTATATATTTATTTGAACTGCAGTTTTCTCTAGAACAGTATATGTTCAAATGGTAATATATAACTTTAGTCTACGATTAAGATACTGTTCTTATCTTTACAAGGAATTCAACAGAGAAGAGAAATTGTGAAGCTGTTATTATGGCAATTTCTCTAAGTACAATCAAGATGTTAATAATACCTGATGTTACTATGTTTTGGTCTCATTGAAGTTAATTGACCTTTATTTTTAGACTAAATTGCTACACTATTTATTAAATCCTCCGTGAGCTGCACTGGCTGCCTATTGGTCTCCGGATACGCTTCAAGGTGCTAGGTTATAAAGCCCTACATGGTATTGGACCTGGGTACTTGAGAGACCGCCTTCTGCCAATTACCTCCCATAGACCCA